CTTTGGGGCCGGGTTGCGGGAGCCCGAGCCGGGCTGGCGGCCCCGGTCCGGGCCCCACTTGTTGCGAGGCGTCTGGGCCGCTCCGCGAATCTTCCCCGAGGACTGGGAGGCTCGGAGGCGGCTGGTCCTTCCGCGTCGTTGAGACGGAGAGCCGGGGTCGTTACGGCCGTTGAAATGCCGCAAAGACTGCAGGTGTATCCCAGAGTTCAGCCGCTTTTAGGAAGATTAGAGCCAACCCAGCTGTCATTGGTCTTCCTTGGTCATTTGTAACGTTGGCCGGGTCCGCGTTCTACCCCGTGTTCCTAAGCATTTGTCCTGCCCCTTGTTTCATCTTGAAATCATCCATATCTTCGCTTCCTTGAACCCTACTCACCTGATTCAGCTTTTCTCCATGATCTCCTGGAAGCTGCACTACCCGGGATTCAAGCCATCATTCATTTCCCAGATGCAGTACCTTTGGAGCTGGTTGACTTTGCAATGTTTTTATCTTGCGAAGATAACAGAAGCAAGTACGGGCAGAGTTTGATGGGCCTGTCAAGTGACAGGTGTCACTCTTCAGAGCTCTCCTAGAGTGTGACTGACTGGGAAGCCCTCTTGAGGTGGGGAGCACAGTCTTCCTACAGTTTAGTAGTTGGTCTGCCCTGGAAGAGGGCCCAGCAAGATGTGAGTAGTTCTCAGGCCAGCAGCTGAGAGACCACCGGCCCCCTCGACAAGCCACAACTTCCTGACGCTTTTCAGTGGAGCTTCCACTGTTCCAACAACCACAATGGAAAACGGGCAAGGGAGAATGAGGAAACCCAAGACAGAAAGAGAGTGACTTCATGACAAAATGTCCTAACTCTCCGGTTGGGTAACCATGTCCCAAATGACTCCTGCCAGAGCTTGATCCCAAGTGCCCTATACATCTGGAAGTTTCCCAGCTTACTGATGTTAAAATCTTCTTGGAGAGGGACTGTGCCCCAGAATCGTCCCAGGGAAGGAATGGAGAAATTTTAAGGCCTTTGCTGGTGGTTTTGGAGGAGTGGGGTTGCTTGGTAGGAAGAACAGTCCCCATGTTTGCCTTCTGGCAACTGGGTAGTTATTGGAGATTGGTATGCGTGTCTGTGTCTGTTGAGGTGGGGGTACAGGGAGGGGTACTGCTTCCTTCTCCAAAGAGGGCACAGGTTGGTTAGAGCATCTTAAATGGTCTCTAAGTCCGTTTGACAGTGATTAGTCACTATATCAATAGAAGTATCAAGGACGGAAGTCCTCCCTGAAGAGGTGATATCTAAGAGGAGGCTCAACGTGCCGCTTCAGGGCTTTTAGGGCTTTTGCTCTGGGTTGAGGAAGCAGTTAAGAATAAAATAAAAGCCAGAGGCATGTCATAAACATAAGCACCAGAAGGACAAATATGGGCTCTGCTCTCCAACCATCTCCATTGAGGTAGACAGTTGGGTTTATGCTTGGCCAGAATTACTGACTACAGTAAGTTGTAAAAGAAACAGGAAATGCACATCTTGATCTCATCACTGGCTGTTAATTACCTGAAGTTCACCCTCTGGGTGTTAAGGTAGTGTCTAGTCTGAGAATTTAGCCTGTCCAGACTCTAAATTGGATTTAATTTTTATAGTTGGACCAACCTCTTGAAGGTGGCTAGACATTCCTCTTTTGGTTTTGAGCCATTCTTGAAGTGGGTACTTGGGCTTTCCCCACAAAGAGGCTGCTGCTTTATTAATAGAGCAGGTTGATCTCGGAGGAGCTGATTTTTACCAAATGGCTTTAAAAAGGGTCCTGGGGAAAGGTCTTCTGCAGGTAAGATATCATAATGAGTGTGGTGTTGTTTTTTTTCTTTGTATTAAGATCAGGCCTTTGTGACACTGACCACAAACGATGCCTACGCCAAAGGTGCTCTGGTCCTGGGCTCGTCTCTGAAACAGCACAGGACCACCAGGAGGCTGGCTGTGCTCACCACCCCGCAGGTCTCAGACTCCATGAGGTGAGGACCTCACTGCTGCCCCCATGTTCCTGGGGCTCGGACATCTTTCTCCCCTGCTTCTCTGGCATCTGTGGGTGTTGAGGCCAGACCCTTTTCAGGAGTTGAGCACTGGGAAGAGAAAGATGAGAGAGGCCGAGTCAAGGGTTTCTGGGTCTGAAACCTTCCAGCTTTTAGGAGATATGTCAACCAGGTTCCCTTCTGGAGGTGGTGATGTGGCCCATACCTTTCTGACTCCAAGTAGGAGTGGAAGGAGGAGGAGGATTCTTCCCTCTCTGGGGGATCTGAGTGAGTGTTTCAGACCCAGCATTCCCTGCTTAAATGCACCTCTGTGTATTCACAGTTCACTTGAGCTCCTTTCCCCAGATGCAGCAGGAACTACATTGTCTTCTGTTTCAAACCAGGGAAACTCTCAGGTGACTTGAAAAGAAAAGTAGCTGTTTTCTTCAATGCCAGCTGATCTTCCTAACATAAATATCTTTATTAAATACAATGTAATACCCTAGAATTTTTACCAGAGGGCTTTCTGGGCTAGAGGCTGTACTGGGGAGCACACTAGGGCACAGGCTACTGGATGGTTAAGTAAGTTTACTTTGATTTGTTGAATTTTGAAGTATCTGAATAAACTACCTAGTTCCTAACACTGACTTTCAGAATATCTAGGTACCCTGGCAACCTTGTAATGTGTTTGTTTTTGTGATCTCCTAGCCCTCTTAGAAATTGAAAATACCCTTTTGTGTAAGCACAGGCCAAGGGCCTTTGAACAGTTAAGCATTATGTATACATACATATATCTTTCACACTAACAACCTTGTTCCTAAATGATAATTTAGGAAGATAACAAAAGGCTGTCTTCTGATGTGCATATCCTGATTTATAATATATTTGTGAGGATGTGTGTAAGAAACTGGATCTAGTCTTACATTCCCCTGCCCCCCCCCACACACACACACACCCTACCATCACCAGCTGACTTTGGTCAATGATGCCCCTAAACATTTCTTTTCAAAAAGATCAAGTTTACTGTGTGACCTAGAACATATTTTTGTACAGCTTTTGAGAAAGAATATGATACCACTTTTGTTCCACATGTCTGACATTGTTATAAACTTTCAGTGATGATATGTTTTTATCCTTTGTTTTTCCTCATGCTCAGTTGAGTGTCTTATCCAAGTCTCCTCTATGAACCCACCTCAAGAGCTTTCTAAAATAAAACTTCAGGTCATTTGGGACACGGAGAAGTGTTGTACCTCACAAACCAAAGAGAAACTCAAGTTGTATTTAAATAGGGTGTTAAGCACATAATAAATGCTGGTTATACCGGATTCTAAACAAATGGCAACCTAATAAACTGAGGACTTTAACTTCATTTGGGACACAAGAGTTTCAGGCAGTTATCAGTCAATTGCTTTAGCAAAAGTGATTAGTTTTAGGCTTCATGAAGGATATTTTATGCATAGTACTCAGAAAAATTTGTAAAAAATATCCAGTAGTCAGGAAGAATCAATTCTAATAAAACGTCATTGCCAAATTCGTAGGCTATTTGTAAAAATGTGCTCTTACCAAATGCCAGTCACGTTTTGACAAGCTATTTCCACCAGCTGCCTGATATTCAGTGATATGATAAAACATTTTTAAAAATCACTTCTATAATAGTGTTTTGAGACAGGCATTCCATCCTCACCATAAGCAGTTCCTATTACTTTAGTGAAGTTAACTGCACATGCAAACAAACACAAATTGTCTTGAAGTAAAATTAGATTTAAGGGTGTGAACTATACCAAAGCAACAGATCATTCTAGTAATTAAAGTAGAGGGTAATAAAGCAGCAGTCTTACATTAGGTGGGTCACTTGTTCTGAAAAGATGCTAAATGCTGCTTTCTGGATTGTATTTTGACAGGAAAGTTTTAGAGACAGTCTTTGATGAAATCATCATGGTGGACGTCTTGGACAGTGGCGATTCTGCTCATTTAACCTTGATGAAGAGGCCTGAGTTGGGTGTCACATTGACGAAACTCCACTGCTGGTCACTAACACAGTACTCAAAATGTGTATTCATGGATGCGGATACGCTGGTGAGTGTGGCTCTAAGGGCTGGGGGGATGTTTGGAGTCATGCAGGCCTGAGAGGCATTTGGGGACCACTGTCGAGACTTGACAGGAAAGTTTAGATTAAAACACTGATGTAAGACGTGTCAGGTGACAAAGGAGAGTGGGCCCAGGCTGCCATACAGCTGTCATTATCTTTTGTGTTGGATGACACAGGGAGAACTTAAGGAGGGTATGCTGCAGCACATTTTCATAATGCTCTTTCTCCCCTTTGAATCAGGTCCTAGCAAATATTGATGATCTTTTTGAGAGAGAAGAATTGTCAGCAGCACCAGACCCAGGGTGGCCCGACTGCTTCAATTCCGGAGTCTTCGTGTTTCAGCCTTCTATTGAAACATATAATCAGCTGTTGCAGCTTGCTTCTGAGCAAGGGAGTTTTGATGGTACGTATCTGCCATCTTCTTATCTGGAACACCTTGAGTAGTTTACAGGGACTGCTCTTCTCAGGGATATAATTGCTGTGGCTTCCCGTGCTGGGAAGGGACAGGAGATGTACGTAACAAGCATTTTAAGTTGTACGCTTTTGGGAATTTCTAACACGTGTTTGTGTATTTTTTTTCCCCCATAGGTGCATAAGATTAACCTAAATTAAGAGGCATAATTTTTTGATGGGGGTTGGAGTCTCACTCTGTCACCCAGGCTGGAGTGCAGTGGCACACTCATGGTCACCCCAGCGTCCACCTGCTGGGCTTTGGCAGTCCTTCAGCCTCAGCCTTCCAAGTAGCCAGAACTATAGGCATGTGCTACCACGCTCAGCTAATTTTTTATTTATTGTAGAGACAAGGTCTCGCCAAGTTGCCTAGGCTGGTCTCGAACCCGCGGGCTCAGATAATCCACTCACCTCAGTCTCCCAAAGTGCTGGGATTACAGGCTGAGCCACCAAACCCCGCCAAGAGGCATTTTTATAGGATTGCCTTTAAATGACCTTCCTGTATCTAAATAAGAGTATAATAAATGTAACATGAATATTCAAAAATTCAAAAGATTGCTGAATAAAAGACTTCAACATCTATCTTTTTTTCCCCTCTTTTTTGAGTTGGGGTCTTATTCTGTTGCCCAGGCTAGAGCACAATGACATGATTAGGACTCATCACAGCCTTGACCTCCTGGGCTCAGGCGATTCTTCCACCTCAGCCTCATGAGTGGCTGGGACTACAGGCATGTGCCACCATCCTGGCTAATTTTTGTTTTTTGTTTTGTTTGGTTTTTTTTGGTAGCGATGAGGTCTCACTATATTGCCCAGACTGGTTTTGAACTCCTGGGTTCAAGCAATCCGCCTGCCTTGGCCTCCCAAAGTGTTGGGATTATAAGCATGAGCCACTGCGCCCACCCTAACATCTGTCTTTAAACCTGAGTAAACTTAAACTCAGGAGCGTTTGACAGCCATTCTCCCAGGAGGCTCATGTATTGTCGCCATGGAAACTTGAGGAATAAGCCTGAGAGTCTGGCTCTTGTTCTCTCAGGAAGCATTAGAAAAGAAGATAGAAAGTTTATGTGAATAACCTTTGCTTCCAAACTCTTATTTCTAGAAGGCTGCATGTCAGTAGTATCTGTAAGGCCAAAGAGTAGAGCACTGACAAGGTCAGCATGCATTTTCTATAATGTGTAAATGTATCTGTGGTTATATGTACATAAAGGTTCTAACCATATGTGGTCTAGGGCTTCATATCCTTCGGAGAATTTTGAGCAAATGAATTAGTAGGTATGCTTTCGTTTCAGACCAGTCTCTGAAATAATAAATAATAAGCCATGATTTTAAAACAACCACAAAATAAAACACACATTACAAAACTTGTAGCTGCTATGCAAAAGCAGTCCTTTTAAAAACTACTCTTGAGTGGTTCCTTTGAATAGGGAAAAGACCAGTAGAGACAGAAAGAAGGACGTGCTCTAAGAAGCCCTCCTAGCAGTGACTCATGGCCAGATACATGACACTGTGGCGGGACACGGGCATGGACCAGAGGCCTGAGCTCACAGACACACACTCCAGGGCCTTCTTTCCTCCCCCCCCCACCTCGAGTCGATCTGAGGTTTGCAGTGAGTAGATCTTTTGGAATTAGCAGAAACGGTCTTTCTCATTGGACATAGATTCAGCCCCGGGTACAGATAATGAGGATTCAGTCCCATTAATTAGTTATCAAGTTAAAAATCAAAATATCAAATTTAAACGTGTAGAATTCAAGCATTAAACCTAAAAGTTTGTTAGATTGCTGAAGTTAAGATGTTGGAAGTTCAAACGTTTCAAATTACACATAAAACTGAAATTGGGTTTTTGTTGTTGCTATTCACAGAAATGGAATTCTTTCTAGTGATTTGGCTGAGGATTTGGGAATTGCAGCTATCTAAAATCTCATTGAAAAGAATAAGGAAGTTTAAGTTACAGTTTTGTTTCACTATTTAGCTAGTTTACGCTCTAAGCCACATAGTTCTCAAGGCCGATTTTGCCTCCCAAGGAACGTGTGGCAGCATCAGGATGTCGCAGCTGAAAGGGGTGGGTGCAAAGGGTGTCTGGGGATGGAGACTAGGGATGCTGCAAAACATCCCACAGCAGAGGAGGATCAGCCCAGCATGTCAGTTGGATTGAGATTGAGAATCCCTGCTCTGTGCTGAGATATTATGTGATCTAAACCAGAGCAGGAATATCTGAACAATAATGAATGGCTGCATCTGACAAGAAGTGCAGTCTTGTTTTAAGCAACCTTAAAAGAAAAAAATGATGATATGTTAAATGTTCACTGTGGTCAAGGCCAAATGAACCTTCTTCACTTTGTTGACATGTTTTTAGCTCCTACTGTTTTCCTTTTGTATAAGGAATGAAAGCCATATTCGTATTCAAGTTCAAAACATGTAGTCCTTATTTCTACTGCTTACACTGAAAGTTACTTTTGCTGGAAAGGAAGATGGGTGTTTTAGCAGAAGTCCACTGTTTGTCTTAGCCTTCCTGTCAGAGTGTAGCTTTCTTCACCTCCTCTCCTCTAATGTGAAGGAAGTAAGTGTAACCCTGCCAGAAATTCAGTGTAACTATTCTCAAGTTCAGTAAGTGAATCACTTTCTGAAGTAGATCTCATGGCCTGCCAACTGCCTGAAATCCACATGATGTTAATCGTGTAAAGAGAATCCAGTGTCTAGCCTAGTAGAGTATTAGATGTTGTCGTTGAGAGATGAGAGTTTAGATACCAAACAGTAGTGTGCTGTGGTAAATTATCCAGGTAACAGTTTTAGAATATGAAGCTAATTAATTAACTGGTAGAAACTAACCTGCATGTCTACTGTGTTCTAGAACCTAGAGGCAATAGAGGAGTTGATGGATTCATTGTTAAGAAGCCTGAGTGTGCAAAGTGCTCAACTAGAAAGCACTCTCTGCTTTTTCAGCCAGAATCCAAAACCACGGTGAGATTCTCTGAGCCCGCTAGCACATTTCATTATTCAGCAGCGGGTTTTCAGGACTTGCCGTCCTAAGGTATCCCATTTACTGGCTCACTGGGGGCAAAGGATTAAGTTTTCTCTGTTAATAGAGAAAATGTTCCTCTTTCTTGATGAAAGAGTTAAAAAGTCAACTAGACAGCTAAGAACTCATAATTAGTTCTCAATATGTTGTTTAAATTCAACAGAAGAATAAACTAGCAGCTCTCAATGGAAAGGTGGTTTTCACTTGGAGTTTGTGTTACTAATAAGCTTTACTCAGCAAAGAAAGCTCACTCCAGACTTTGGGAGCCTGCTCCTCCTTCGAGGGGGTACCATAGCCTTTACACACGTCAGTGTGTGAAGCTGTGACATAAAAATTCATCGGACTTATGCTTGATATCAAGAAAATATTTCTTTATGAACAGTGACTTTGTCTAATGGCAGGAACCTTGCTTTGCCTCAAGTTTTAAATACATTATTATACAAACATTATAAATATAAAGATAAATAATCTTAGACATTGTATTAAGCATTATTTAAAAAAATTATTTCAGCTAGGCGTCATGCTGTAGTCACTGAGACAAACATTTTCAGCTGTTTCTTTCACCATTCCCTACATTTTCTAACAGCCACAGGTTTTCCCCTTCCTCAACCCCATGACCAGTGTTAAGACCCAGCATTTTTAAGTGAGTATTACAAAAGCCCAGTTTTGCAGATGCCTGTATCTCAGTCTGTATCTCTTACAAGTCTTGCTTAATCTCTTGTCTAGTGTTCCCCAGAAACCGGTGGGGCCTGGTGTCCACTGACAAGCCCCAAGGCCGCTGATGGCTGGGTATTCACAGCTTCTTTCAGAGCCCTTCTAATGCAAAAGAATGTGGCTATCATTCTTCTAATCACCAGCCCTCTCATCACAGCCCCTCCACCTCTTCACCCTGTGCCTCTGGCCAAGAGAATAATCCTAATATGGCAAATTGTGCTCCCGTACCTTGGCTTTTCTTTCTCCCCAAATATCTCGAGTGTTAGAATTGAGAACTAGGAACTGCATACCTAACTCATGGCTGGTGTCTAACTTTCCGTAGTGAAGAGTCCAAGTTCCTGTACCACTGTTTGTATTTTCAAACTGTCTTGACGCTTACTTCATCAGTGAAGTTACATGTTTCCTGAAAAGTTGAACAACAGCTGTTGTGAAATAGTTCTACACTAGTATCGTATGGGATGTAGGATGGTACGGTTAACTTCAGGGCTTATTAGCAGTAAGAAGAGAAGAGAGGGGTCACGATACTGAAGATACTAATGAGCAGTTTTGCATCTACCATGAACTTAGGAGAAGTGAAGCTGACACGCTCGACTCGTAATTTGAAGGAATCATCCTGAATGCAAGTTGAGGTTTATTTTCTTTGCCCCTGTGACTCAGGTATCTTAAGGGTGCTAGTTGAAAAGTTTAGTGCTTGAAAATTGCTGCCTATTAAATTTCTTCTGTGTGTGTTAGTTTTAAAAACCTAAGTCAGAGGATTCATATTTTCCAATTTGGAGTGTCCTTTTTAAAAAATCTTGGTACTCATTTTAATTAGTACAACCTTAATACCCTAAACTTTTTATTGATGCACTGGAATTTTGGTCTACAGTTGAGTTACCAGAAAGAAGAAAAAATAGGAGAGAATAAATTGGTGGCAGAATATGAGATGCGATTTTACTTTAAAGAGAATCTGGGATCTGTTGGGGTCATTATACGTGCATGTTCCAAATTTTTAGTGGCCACTGAGACCCCTAAACAGAGAACAATAATTTTTTTTAATGATGTTTAATAGAAAAGACTGTTAAAGTGTAAAATCAACCCCAGTGCCACTTTTACTTTTTGTAGTTAATTAGGTCTCATGCTGGACCTGCCCAAAAAAGGAATGAGGGATTGGGTATTTCAAGATAGTACTTGTCTTGTCCCAACAAAATGAGCTCAGAAATGTAGGTGCGCCTCCCATGG